CGAAAGCGTTCAGGTTTCCGTTTCCGGTGTACATTTTATGTTTCTGGATGTTTCATTGTCGAAATGCGAGTCCGTGCACATATCCAGGATACACAAAGAAATGAAAACAGTTGACCTAGATGCATCCAAAGAGAAATAGAAGAGGAAGACGATGAATAAAAAATAGTGAATACAACAAAAGTTTAAATAAAAACAACTAGTGGAAAAGGCAAGTACTTGGGTCAGCCGGCGGGCTCCTTTCCTTTCCTATAAAATATAAATAAAAAAGAGAGATCAAATCAAGTCTCGGGAGTTAGTACATTAATATCTAGTCTTTGACTTACTTCAACTTTATTTACTTCTTTTCTTTTTTTTATCTTTATCTCCGATCCTGCATTGTACATCTATCGGTGTATTGTTTTTGTGAGTCGTTAAAAGACTCGGCGCTCGGCCAATCTTCTTTTCTAACTGCACTTTGTTTTCTACAGATAACTTTTTTCAATCAATATTTACTTGCTCCGAGTTGTTCAAAGCTGTGCTTTAATCAGTTCAGAATTATTTGTTGGATCGGTCTTCAATCTTACGAATTTAAGTGATTAAGCTAAGTGACCCGTCTTCTGCCAGCCTTTACTTAACAAACATAAGGAGTTCGGAAAATTTTAAAATATACGACTTTTAATTCTTATTTTATTTTTAATCTACCTGTATATAATAAATGAGCGTTGTTTTTTTTGCTAGCTTTTAATTGAAAAGAAAAATTTTTTAATTCAGTAGCATTAAAAACAAAAAAAAAATCATTTTGTCATTCTTCGATTTGTTTCAATAAGAGAGCACGCCAAAATTACATTATGAAATCGCTTTCAACGATGAAAAGTGTAGAGTCATTTCTTGAATTTAAAATACAAGAAAAAATGATATTTATGGAAAAATATTTCAATAGTGAAAAAATTATTGAAGCATCTCTTATAATAAAATGATATATTGTCGCGCAAAAAAACTTAAAAAAAAAATATTACCATTTATTTTGTCGTATATTAAATAAATTAATAAAAAAGTAGCTTTAATTGTTTGTAACTTTTGACCCATGGTAATTATAAGATGAAAGTATCAACCGCAAATTTGATTTATTATTATATTAAAAGAAGATCTACTATTTTATGTTTTATTATTGAATTATTCTCAATGGTAAAAAAATTTAAAAGTAAAGTAAAATAATTTTTATGATGAAACTATTTGACCTTATGAAAAATAAACTTTTTTTTACTATAGAATACTTAATATGATTACGACGAAAAAAGAGAGAAAAAATATTTCTTTTTTGTTATAAACAATTTTAATTTATAAAACGAAAGAAGATTTTTTTTTTCTTTTAAAATCGATTCATAGATTGCAATTTTTTGTTCTTAATCTTGAATATTTATTCATTGTTAATAATCAATACAGCAAAACTGAAAATTTCTCTTTATAAAATAACTGAAGTAAATATAAAGATTAAAAAATCTACAAATTTATCCATTGTCGAAAAATTACGCCATATTCATTTGAAATATTCCACGATAAAAAATCTAAGGTCAATGAAATATTCAATATCAACAGAAGCATAAAATTTAGTATGATAAATTATCCAGGCGATAAATTATACAGTCTGGCATCATGATCCAATTGCCAATGCTCTAGATGATCGAGTTAAGAGGGTCTTTACGAGAGACTAGAATAAGTACACACACAACGAAGCAAAAAGCTCGAGGGCGCACGAGAAAGACAGAAAAGCGATTCACTTCGAACAAGAACAAGAACAAGAGGCTAAGACAGCAAAAGGAGGCGACAGTATATTCAAGAAGTTAGTTGTACCAAGAAATCGATTGCCGTCTCGACAACTTTAAGTGGAGGCGCAGTAGGTCCGGGTCTGGTAACAGTAAGGCAAGTCCGAGTCGAGTGAGGTCCCTGTTGTTATTGAATCAGTTCCATCTAGCAGGACCACTTATACGTTGTACCTTATTTTCTTGCTCTGTTCCTGTAGTTTCTTATTATATCTCTAGTGCCTAACAATCTTCAAGTTTTTAAAGATACAGGAAGAGCACTACTGTCTTCCTCACCTTGAACTTGTTTGAAGATTTCCTAGGTGACTTTTAAATTAAAATTCATTTGTATTTAAAAATAATCATCTATTCTTAGAAGGGACGAAATGAAATTTTATTTAGTGTTTTTTTAGATGATAAAATAATTGTACAATTTTGAAGTTTGAATATTATTTCATTTGAACTTTTAAAAGTACAAAATCAATTTTTTGTTGCAAATTGGCAGCTCAGTGAAATTTTTTTTCCGACTACTCTGGCACAAGCTCCAAAAGTACTGCACTTGTCATTCTTTTTTTATTGATGTGTAAAGAAAAAATCATTGATTTTTTTAGCGGAAAGTTGAAAATTCAAATTGGATACTGTTTTATTCGACATTTATTCATCCTAAAAAAAATGTTTATTTAAACGGATTTACTCCTGTAGCTTGCACCTATTAACTTTTTCTTTAATTAACAGTAGCGCAACAAAAAAAAAATCTATTTCTGTTACTAAATCTATAAACTTCTCCAAAACTTGTTCTCCAACCCGTAGTCAATAATTGGTGGTTTCAGCTAAGTTACAGCCGCTGTAAAATGTCTCCGGGCTACGAACTTCGATAGATTTCTCGGCGAAGCCAGGCCGTAGATTTACATTTTCAGATATTCAATACAAAACTATTTACTAGATTCCCCAGCCGATGTGTATCCACGTCGCAGTAGATTTAACATCTGAGCTCGATTTAAGTTGTTACCGCCCTTCATTTAAATTCCTGCTGTCCGTTCGGCCTTCAACCCCGAGGACGCAACCCGCAACCCGTCTAGTCTCGCCAACCGCATATATGAACATACTGTCTACCCTAATCACTATTACATTTACTTATCTTTTATTCCGCCCACATATTTTAGTTCCATTATTCAAATTTTCATTTTTAAATTCTACATATTTAATTCTGTATTTAAATCAGAACATGCCTGAAATATTCAATTTTAATGTTGTCGGTGACGGTGACGGACAACAAAATTAAAGAACATTGGTGAATAATCATTAACTACTCATTGTATAATAAACTAACTGTCAATCACATGCTTCACTAAGCTTGAGGTAAATTAATTTATTTTTTAGTGAAACAACTGTTTAATTACATCAGCATGTACCCACAATGATGTTTTTAAAGACTTTTGTAAATGTTTATAATTTTTTATTTCCAAAGATAAATGGTCTCAATATTATCGAAATTATAAGTTGATCTCTAAAAATAAAATAATTTTTAGTTTTGTATATTGACATCTCTATAATCGTAATCAAGAGTCTGTTGAACTTAAAAAATATCAAATTAATCAATCAAGAAATAATTTTTAATGAATTATTATTATTTTTTTAACTAACAAAATATCGACAAAATATTATCAACTTAAAAGATTAACTAAGAAACTATGTATTTTTTGAGATTAATTTGATGTTTAATTGGTTCAATAGTTTTGTTCGGTTAGGCATGTCTAAGAAAGGTCTCTTCATTTATTAGTATGCCAATATAATGATAAAAATAAATAATTCAGCACAGTGATGTTGCATACGAGTAGTTCTCCCTGAATTCAGTCACTTATTTTTAATTAAAATAAATAAACATTAGTCGCATGTCACAGAAATAATGATCTCCAACTGTGACAACTTGCTGATTGTAAATAAATAAAATAAAAATCTTCAAGCTTCACATTACATTTATGTGTTATTTTGAGCTCTCCGAGCTCAAAGCGGTCGCTGTTCTATGCTTTTGAGCTCTTCGAGCTCATATCTTGCGTTTGACATATCTATTAATAATCTACAATTGTGTTAATTAATTATTTAAAAACAATTTAAATGACACATCAAGAAGTTATTATTATTGTTATGATATATTTATTTTTTATTTAAATAAATGACCAAATTCATAGAAAACTAACTGAGAGCAATATCACGTCGCTAAATTATTTTTTTTTTTTTTTTTATTATATTGACAGTACTTTTATTTCGGATAAAATTTTATCCCGGATTGAAAAACTGGCCCTAAATGTTAATTGAAAAATAATAAATGAATTGATTTTTTCTTATCCTCAAGTGTATGTTATTAAAAAATTTCACGATTAAATTTTTTATTCAAAAAAAGTGTTCTATTTAGCTTGAAACACTCGCGAAAAATAAAATTTCTCCTTTACCTCACATTCCTTGAAATTTATGCTTAATATTTTTTGATATTAAAATTTAAGTTTTATTATTATTGAAAATATTTTCCCGTTTAGATTTCAAGCGCAATATCACGTTTGTTTGAAATCTAAAGAAAAATGCGACTATAAAAAGGCTAAGAGAAATGTAAATAAAAATACATGAACAAGAATAAGAATAAAAATGAGTCGGGGGAAAAAACGTCAAGCGTACCTCACATGTATTTATAAAATATTGTGCATGTTGGCAATTCTTTTAACAATACGAATACATCATGCAATAAAAGATAAATAATGCATCGTCTCGGTGGATACTGGATTCTATTAATAATGCGCACTGTATTATATCAATAATAACAAAAAATATTATTATTATATAATGCCATCTCGATTATTAATTTATCACGTCGTAGTACCTATTTTGTTTCAGTTTATCAGGTTGATAAATTATTCGTGGAGGCTATTATTTATGCGGTAAGATAATTCTGGGTGGTATGATTAAACTTGAATAATATTGTATTGTACAAGGTAAATTTATCATTAGACACTACATGCCACGCGGTCGTCTGATAGAGAGAAATCTCGCGAGCGCACCTGACGTTGCCGCTATTGAAAAACGTGTTCTGATTTCTGCACACCTGGTTTTGTTCTTTCTTTATTATTTTACTTTCTAGAAGATTCTATTTCTCGCGGATTTCTTAAATGTGTTAAAAAATTTTCTCTATTCAATGAGTTTATTTTTTTATTTAAAAATTAATTAACTTACCCATAGCAGGAGCGTAGATGTTTAAATAAAGGCAGTCTTCGCTTTGATTTTTTAGATGAGGTAAAAGTCTTTTTAAATACTCGAGGCGTCCTCGCGGCATTCGTTCCAATGCCGCCGCCTCGTTACTTATGTCGGGAAGTCTTTGCGGACAGACAGGCCCAATCGCATTAGCGAGTCTGTTGGAATAAAGAAAAAATTTTTAGCTTTCATCCAGTCATTGATTATTTAATAAAACTAGAAATTTTCAACAACGCGCTTTCGCGCGCCTTCTAACTAACTTTTTATGACACTGAAGTTAGAAAACGTGTAAAAATGTTTGATTTTTTTTTTAATTAAATTACAACTAAAATGATATTTCTAAAAAATTGCACTTATAGTTTTTTAAGTTTTTTACATGTGACAATTTTTTTTTTTAATTGTTTAATTGAAATTTTTTTAATAAAAAATTTCTAAAAATTTTGAAATGTCGGTTTACTTCATTTTCATAACTTTTTTTATATAATTATTCGATAATGTTTCGATATGTTCTACGGATAGACCAATAATAAATCAGGGTCCATTTTTTGCGATTTTCGACTAATAACTAACTTCAAGAGTCCATGTGTTTTATTTAGAGTATTACTTGAAAGCTTTTTTTTTATCAAATTGATAAGCCCCGTTGAAAATATATAAATTTTTTACTCCCCTCTTTTCAAACAAAATTAATTCAGACTACCAAGCAATTGATTCTTAAGAAAAAAGTTAAAAATTGAGACTCTAAATTGAAACTTAATACCGAAAAAACGTTTATTAAAAAATTCATAATGATGCCCTTCAGCTTTTCCATCGCTAAGAACATGATAATAACAATAAAAATAATTATCAGCACTTACCTAACTCCGTCCCAAGGGTTGGGCGCTTTAGTAGGGGAAAATCTGCCGCCTCCAATCGGTGGTGTGGCGTACGGAATTCCCAGATAAACGTCTACCGGCTTGAGTTGCCTGTTCTCAAAGGACTGAGTCAAGCCTTGAATCTGTCCATTACGTAATTGTACTATCCGAGGGTTTAATTTCTGCTTTACCGACAGAGAGGAGACGATAGGCACAGTCAACACCAAACAGACCACAGCCGCCAGGAGTTCCATTTTGCATATCATTTTCTTCCGGTCATTAACTTATATTATTATCTACTTTGATTATGATTATGATTATCGTTACGATTACGACTATTTCTAACAATAAACTCTTACAAAACGCCTGAACTCAGAAGCAATAACAACCTCGGTTACTAACCTCGAAATCAAAAAAATTGGCAGTTATCGAACAGCGGACCCGTTTCCTGGATAATTTTAACCTTAAACTTTCGCTCATTATCATTATTATTATCGAGTTAGTTTGATTGCCTCTCGAAGATTATTCTACATATCGAAAATTTTCCTCCCGTTTTCGCCCTTCCGACCCCACTACGGCCCCGATTGCCGCCACCCCGCTTCACCGAATTCCTCCTTGCCATCTGAAAGTTAATTTCATCGCCTAATTACCCTAGCTGCCAGCAACACGTCTCGTTATTTTCTGTTTAACAAAAAGTCTTCATTGTTTGTTACTTTTCGAGCGTCATAAAATCAGTAATTATTTTTTTCATAAAAGTAATATTAATAATAACAATTTAAAAATTATTTAAAACGTTTTGATCCGAAAAAATAAATCTTAAACGATCGCGAACTAAATCTTTTCGAAAATAGATCCTCTTAAATGAAACGACTGCACCTGTAACAGAAAAAACATTAATTCCATTGATGAGTTTTAGTAAATTAGATTGTCGGTAAATGAGATCACTAGATTTACGACCAGTGGGATCGGGATTGGGATTAGTTGAGAGCGAAAGAGAGGGAAAAGAAAATAGAGACTATCCTGTAGGATATGAAAAAAGTTTTGTTGAAAAGACACATTGATCAAGTTGTAACACCACTCTGGTGTATTAGACGCAAGAAACACCGATTGTGAGATAGTCTGGTAGCTTTAAGTTTTAAAAAGAGTTCTACCTTTTATTTTAAACTTTTATTTCGTGTTTGTTATGTCTTGACACTAGACCTTTCTGTTTAACGAAAGAAAAGCTTTTTCTCACTAGGAATTTTCGAGAGAGTACTCTTCATAATTGCAGGGTTTCTATTTGGAAGTATATTTCGCTCAAAGGAACCGAAGGGCAAGAGAAATCCTTTGGAATCTTAGATTTCCTTGTTGTTCATTAATTGCGATAATTAAGAATATTCTCAATGAATTAACTGTAAAAGATATTCACTAGTACTTTGAATTTTTTTATTGAATAGCTAAAGCAATGGTTTTAATTAATCACGATATTCAATTCTATAATCAAGGTTAACATTTTTTATTCAAGATCTTCATTAATAAAACATTTAATAGTGGTTTTTGATGTATTGTTTCTTTTCGGAATTTTTTTGAATTTTTCAAAACTGGTACTTGGAAGGATAACTTTCTTTGTCGAATAAAAATTCTATATGAAATTATATTTTTGAGTCACAAGTAATTTCTAATAGGAAAAAAAAATTAATTAAGTTTTCATAAAAATACTTTCTGATCTGACCAATTTCCATTTATAAAAAATGTTTATACATGACTTGAGATGGCTTAATAGAATTATTTTTAATCAAAAAATAAATTATCATTCATTAAATTATCATATTTTACTATCAAAAAAATTAAATTCAATAAAATGCACATTAGAAAAATTCTTTCCGTGCAGTTTTTTAGATATTTCTTACAAAGATAATTTTTTCATCATTTAAAAATGATCAAATAATTACTTGTCTGCAATTACATATTGATTATTAGTGAAAAAGCTTACTACATATTTTTATATATATTTATAATCCATTATATGGATTTTTCACTGATATAAAAATTGAGAAACTCCAAAAAAGCATATTTAAGATAATATCTGAAGATAAAAGTGACAATATCGAGTGACTGTGTACGAAAAAAAATTTTTTGCACACCCTTGTTGCATTAGTCAGATGATGAGTATAAATTTAAAAATTTTTCTTACGAGTTTATAGAATTAAAACCCGAAAAAAAAATTCATTTATTCTTTATACTTTTTATTTTATCAAAATTCTTTTTACTTTTTATTTTCCCAAGTCATTGTAGTTTTGTAAATTGTGATAACAATTAAAACTCATTGAAAAGTAATATCCTTCAATAAATTGATTGAGATCTTGTTGAAAGTCGAAACTCAAAATTTATCTAATGAAGTACAAATGACTAGTTAACTATGTCAACAAGGATTTCTGAACGACTAGCTATCAAATTTAATTTTCCAAGGAATTCAGATGTCAAACACTACTTGGGTATCTAATCTCTTAGTTTCACGGTTAACGATAAGTATTACTAGTTGCTACTTAGTTATTATACATCAGCTAAGGAAGTGATGGTAGTCTGTAGACATTAACCAAGTAGATACTTTCGGACTTGGACGTTGCAAATGTCATTGTGTTCAATGTCTGTTAATCGGAGGATTTCCCACAGTGGGTGCCTATATTGTTAAACAGCACCCTATGACAACGTTGTCACGGACTTGGCCCCCCTGGATGGTGGCCTCTCCGGGATTTCCGAACGTGTTTGTGTTTGCTATGTCTAAGACGGGCAGGGACTAAGTTTGTAAGTGCTATCAGGAATATGGTATAGATTGTTCCTGAGAGCGTGAGACGAAGAGAAAGGAGAGAAACTGTGTTTGAGTTTGCAAAGCAGTAATAATTGTTTCACCCATCCTATACATGGTGGTCTCGTGAACTAGGCATCCGGTGATAGTAGTTTCCGCTTTTCTATTCGATTAATATTTAGTACACTGTAAATTAGTTTGTATTTCAGTGTTGTGATGTTGTTTGATCAAACATCGTCACGATTATAACTTCAATTTTGTTTTATAGTAAGAATAATAATAATAGAAGAAAGAGGGGTAAAATTAAATGTAAGGAGTACCCGAAAAATTGTGAAATATTTTTTTTACCTCGAAAATATTCGAAGTAGTCAAAAATAAACTTAAAGTTATTTTAAGCTGTTTAAGATAAAAAAAAATTTTTTTTCATCAATTTTACAAATTTTGAGCCTTATAAAAAATTATTTTTAATATTATTGTGCATGAGGAATTAAAAAAAAAATTTTGTTTAAGTTTTTCTTTGTATTTGATTTTTTAAGCTTAAACATCTATTGGTCGTCTTCAAAATTTTTCCTGTGTTTTGTGAAGTAAGCCTAATAGGAAAAAACTAACGTTCTCTTCAATCGATAATAAAAAATAGAAAACGAAAAAGCAAAAATAATGTTTTATTTTATTGCTCAAGTATTAAAAAGTTTATAGATTGAATATTGGAATTCTCTATTTCGTCGAGTAAATAGTTCAATATACCCACCTTTTTTTGTATATTATTCACGGAAAGTATGAAGAATGTAAATTAATTAGCAAAACGTATAAATATATCCTTTAAGTCAAAGGCATTGAAAACACGAATATAAAAATACGAATTCATAATCTTTGAGCAGATAGAAAAATCTCCATACCGCAAAACTCGGATCCGCTTTCGTCAAAAGAATGTCGCATTACGTGAATTCAAATGCTCTCGCTTGAAATACTGATAACATGTACAGACTTACAGATACTACGCGGTACATAAAAATGCTTTGAAAAATCTCACAAGAGTCGAATTTATCCGAAAACGTCGATAGTTACACAACAACTCATGACTATTTTTTAGTTCTTCGTTTACCGTTCTTCGTATTGATAAATAAAGGGGGAAAAAATAATAAAAATCAGCAGAGTTGCTGCATCATTCCGCTTTTGCATTCGATCGATCCAAAGTATTGGAATGCGGTATCTTCTTTTACTATAATGATAAGTGAGGAGTTTTTTTTAGTGCTTAATGTAAAAAAATATAGAATCAGAATACGTGAAATTTATACTAAAAGACGCTGCGGAAAAAATTTGAGTGTAAAATTCATCCTCAATTGCTTATTTGTAACTTAGATTTTTTTAGCTTCGAAAATAACAACTTTTAATTACAAATTAATTATTTTCAATTGTCATTTAAGTATTTTAAATGAAAATGAAAATTTAATAATTGATTCTAAATTGTTTTTAAATGAACATTTATTTGTTTAATGACATTTAATTAATATAAAATAAAATTTCAATAATAAATAATTTTGAAAAATTGAAAATATTAAGCTAAAACTAAGTAAGCATTTTCATGAGTTTTCATAATAGTATTTCAATGTTTGGATAAGCTGTCGTAACAATAAACTAAAATATAAATATATATTTTAAATAATCTATATCTATGATAATAAATAAAGAGACCTTTTTTAGACATGCCAAACCGAACAAAATTCTTAAACCAATAGATATCAAATTAATCCCATAAAATTCATATAGTTTCTCTTTTAAGTTGATAATATTTTGTCGATATTTTGTAAGTAAAAGTAAATTAAACGTAATAATTATATTGTTGATTGAATAATTTGATATTTTTTAAGTTCAACAGAATCTTGATTACGATTATAGAGATGTCAATATACAAAACTAAAAATCATTTTTATTTTTAGAGATCAACTTTTAAGGCATTTCGATAATATTGAGACCATTTATCCTTGCAAAAAAAATTGTAAACGTTTACAAATATCCTTAAGAACATTTAAATGATTAAATCTTGGGAATTCGGACAATAAATGAAGATGTTAAATTATAAAAATTGCAACGTTTCGCTGATTTATTTCAGCTTCATCAGATAAATCTTATGGTTAGTATCCTCGTCTCATTTTTACAAAGTCAATAGATAGAAAGTAAAAATGAGACGAGGATGCTAACCATAAGATTTGCCTGATGAAGCTGAAATAAATCAGCGAAACGTTGCAATTTCTATAATTTAACATCTTCATTTACACAGTAAAAAATATTGTGTAAAATCAACACAGTTTGTGTGTTAAAAACGGTTGACACAAAATATGTGTTGAAATTTCAACACAAATTTTGAGTAACCCCTTTTTAACACAAAGATTATATTGAAATATCGCCACAAGAGGGCGCAAAAAATCATACACTTCTAAAGTGTCAATCTTAACACAAAATAAATGTTAAATAAATTTATTTATTTTCATCAACTGTTTGATGCCTATAACATAACCTATGAAATAATTTTTTTTTATTTCCTCAACTGCAGTAAATAATATTTATTTAAAA